TTAATTTAGAGGGATAGTTTAAAGATTGTTTAAAGAAAACGTGACCAATTTTTTTGTTAGTTAATCATCAAAAACATTATTTGGGATTGTTTTGTGTACAGCTGTGAGATGCAGTTCATGGATGTCCTGACTGGCAGCAACTTGATTTCTCAGGATGACAGTGATCTCAAGATCACTGCCAATGGAGTAAAACCGTCCCTGGATAGAAAAACACAGAGAAATACTGACAGAACGCACAACAAAAAGGGAAAAGGCAGCTTTGGATGTCTTTTAACGAAGCCTGGAGAGAATAAATCCTGGCCGACATCGCCCCCCAGTGGACGGAGGAGGCATTACCATCTGTGTAGGTATTACGTCTCTGATGTGTCAGAGGGAGTCAGGGCGAGTCTCGACTGCAGACATCGTCGATGCGCGCAGGATGCTCATCAGCATGACAAGAAACCATCGCTTTTCTCTTGAAGGTTAGACATTTGTGTTTGTTTCTCATTCCTCATATTATTATTTCACGGTTTCTCGAGGGTTTTTGCTCCCAGATATGAAAGCTGTCTCAAAGCGAGAGCACCGCCTCGCAGCGGGATCACAATAAGACGTGTTTTACAGTCGTAGCAAAAAACAAATGAATAAAATAAAATATGAGCAGCTGATTTGTTTTTAATTTAAAACAGTGCTAAACGAGCTGTGGGTCACAACCCGCAGCACCGTGCTGCTGCCTCCCTCAGTGAGCATCAGCAGACATAATGACGCAATGTTTGTTATTATTTGGTAGTGTCGGTGAATGAGCATATATCCACGCTTTAAGTATGGTGTCAATGGGCCTGTCATTGGCTAAACCTTCCATAAATAGATTTGTAGTGGGAAGCTTCGGCCTGTTGTTTATTTCCACGCAGGCTGCCTGCTGAATAACACCCAGCTTTCTGATGAAGCCTGAAATAGTGTGTATCTGATATTAAGAGGTTATATGTTGGGGGGGGGTTATAATGCACTGGTTGCATCCAGTATTATATTTACTGCTTTATGAAGCCAGAGTCCTCCCTGATGTTCCCAAGAGGCGGGGAAAGGATTAAATTTGATCTTCTGAGCCACTCTTTTCGTAACAGAGCAGGCACTGGGTTCTTTGGGAATTCACTTCTGTCTGCCCTTTCTGTCCTGTGCTCATGTGTGTTTGAGAGGAGTATTTTTAAATGAACAAATCAGATTTGCCACATTCTGCCTAGTGTGTTGAGGGAAATCCATGACTTATTCTCCCAAGAATCCATTTGGTTGAAACATAACCTAAAGCAGTTCATCTCGGCTGAGCTTCCTTTATAATTCTCAGTTCTCTGAAGAAGACTTCTTTTTCCCGCTTTCTAAATGTTCTCTTTGTATATTCTCGGCTTCTTCAACCAGTTTGACCAGAGAGCATTTTACAGCTCAGCTTCCATGATTATTGGTGCATCCATGTGCACGTGGCTGTGACAGACATTTCCATATGCCAAGTAAGCTGATTGTAGACCAGAGAGCAGCGAGGCACAGGCCAGCTCTGGACTGAATCTGAATCAATAAATGGAAATGAAGAAGAACATTGAGGTTAGAGAGGGACAAGGGAAAGGAAGTTGGCTTAAATAACAAAATGAAAACAAAAACAAAAGAAAAACACAGGATTGATCACAAAGGGATGAGGAGAAGGAGGAGAAGGAGGAGAAGCTGTGGAAGCGCTGCAGTGCAGCCGGTGCTGACAGCACCTGCAGGGGGTGAGCCGCCAGCCCAACAAACTGGGACACATTTGTTTCCAAAGCATCCCAGTGGACTCAGGAGCTCCAGAATCTCCGCACTCTTACTACACACCATTTCACCTGCTTCCCTGCAGCATGTTCACCATGTTTGTTGCCACACTGTTCAGCTAGAAAACAGAAACAGGGTCTCTTTAGTGTGTGATTGGGGTCAGATGTCACCTTCAGGACAGCAGCTGGATGAGATTTATCCTCTTGCTCAGTTTAGGATGACAATGAAGAAATAGCTGACGCACTGTCTGACTTCATCCCTCTGGTGCAGGACAGAAACTTGCATTCATTTTGACCATTATCATCTTCTTCAGCTGAACTCCAGTAAAACCAAATTAACATTGCAAGATTGTTGTTGTCATCAGCTTTGGTGGATGTTTGAGGTCTTGGAGTGGCCTTTTGTTTAATACACTGTTTCAGGTAGTTTGCTTTCAAATAAAATATGCATAAAACCACATTTACTGACAGCAGCTATACAGCGAGGTAAGCTGCACACTTAACATCAGCATAAAATTATGTCAAAGAGAGGAAATCAGCTACTTATACACTGTGGTCATCCCTGAGACCAGAAACAACCCATTGGTGTTCTTGGGTCATTAATCCAATATATGTTTATTGGTATCAGTATTTATAACAGCTGTTAAAGGAACCTTTTTTTTTTCAAAGTTAAGAGAAGATGGGAGAAACACCCTTCACCACACTGAACGTTGATGTTGCATAGTTCATCCACCAGAGGGCTCCCTGCAGCTTCTCTGTTGGAAGCAGGTGATCCCAGCAGCCTCAGAGCGTAAACGAGTAAACAAGTAAATAGATACAAATAACAAATGTTAGGTGAATTTGTTTATGTTTTGTGCCTGAACAGAAAAATATATCTGATATATTATATGAGAGCATCAGTAGAACATCTACATTGTTGTTTTTTTTAATCACACGTTATCTTTTGGCGATATAATTATCACGTGCTTTCAGCTTGCCAGCATGTGGTTTGTCGTGGTAAACCTTATAGCTTCAGGGCTTTTGCTCGGCCAAATTATGAATCCCAAGATTGTTTTTTTCTCTGGAGGAATTATTAAAGATATTTTGCTGAGAAAAAATATTTATGGTTTCAGCTAAGCATTTGCAAATTAATAAATAAGGGCAAAAAACAAGTAAGTTTAAACCTTGCTGTACATACTGCTTCCATAAGTGGCTTCATAAAAAAATTTAAAAAAAATATCAGGCTAAGCTCTATAGAGGGCCAGACAAAGAGAACATGTTGAATATTTACAGTGACGTGACTCAGAAAGACCAAACTGAGGCATCGCACAAGTTTACAAATGTAGAAATGAAAACGTTTCTAATCAGTTTGCTTTGAGTTGACAATGTCTTTGAAAACTGTAGTTGCTCCTGTGCACTCTTCATTCTTGGGTTTTGCAGGGATCTAAAGAAAGAATAACCGTGTTATTAATACGATAAGCACTCATACTCACAACACTTCTACTACTGCTAATAATAATCTGACCATTTTCCTGTTAATATAAAACATATTTGGTTTTGTAAAATTTCCAGTACCGACTGATATATGAAGCGCAGTTCATAAATCAGTCCAGATGACAAAGCTGTTGACTTACTTTCTTTCATATTGTACGCTGCTCAAACAACTTAAAGGAAGACTTTTTAATCAGAGTACTGCATGAAGTCTGTTAACATCTGGGATACTGATCAGGTTATTTAAGTAGCAGACAGCGTTGTTAATCAGTTTCAGCTGGTTTGGTGTTAATGAAATTAATAACAGGTGCATTAAAGAGGCAACAATGAGACAACATCCAAAACAGGAATGGTTTTACAGGTATACTACTGGAATTTTCCCCCTCCTCCTTATTTCTGACTGGTTTTTCACTGGTTTTTGCATTTGGCTGGGGTCAGTGTCATTACTCATAGCATGAAGTGCTATCTGGACCCTACAGAGGTTGCATAGGTAGTCCACATCAGTATGTTTCCCAGCACAATCTCAAGAACATGGAAGAGATTCTATAAGACAGCCAGTTACTCCAGGAGAGCTAGACAGGGCTGCAGAAAGTCGTTAACCTATCAGCAGGTCTGTTGTTTGCTCCTTAGTGGAAGGAGGAACAGCACGAGAACTGCCAAAGCTACAAAGTGATGTCCAACAGGACGCAGTGTGAATGCCTCTGACTAAACAATCACAATCAGACTTCATGAGGGTGATCGGAGTGCCTGACATTCACTAGTGTACCCTGTGCTCACTGCTCAGCACTGTGGAGCCACATTGGTACTTTCCATATAATACTGGCAGATCCACCACTTGTGTGCTGTGCTTTTAACAGATGAGAGAAGGGTCTGGAGAAGCTGTGGAGAACATTATGCTGCCTGTAACATCGTTCAGCATGAACGGTTTAGTGGTGGGTTAGCGATGGTCTGGGGAGGTATATTCATGGAGTGACGCAGACCTCTAAAGGCTGGGCATCGGCACATGACTGCTATTAGGTATCGGAATAGAGTCGTTGGATCCACTGTAAGACCCTCTGCTGGTGTAGTAGGTGCTGGGTTCCTCCTGCTGCACAACAGTGTCTGGCCTCATGTGGCTAGAGTATGCAGCTAGTTCCTGGAGGAAGGTTTTGGTACCATTGATTGGCCCCCATGATCACCTAACCTAAATCCAGTAGAGCACCTGTGGGACAATATGCTTCAGTCCATCCAACACAGTCAGGTTGCACCTCAGACTGTCCTCTGTGATGCTCTGGTCCAGATTTAGGAGGAGATCCCCCAGGAAACCGTTCATATTCTCATTAGGAGCATGTCCCACTATTATCATGCATGATTTCAAGCACATGAAGGCCATACAAACTACAGAGCCATTCTGAGTTGCTACAACGAAAATTTCATCAAAATGGAAGCGACGCAAAATATTTTCACTTTGATTTCCAGTGTCTTTGAATTCAGCCCTTGGTTGGTAATTTTGATTTCCATCAAATGATATGGTATCCTTTTACCCAGTCCATATTAGTAGATATCTAGGCAAGATTTATGTTTCTATTCAGATTTTTTTAAAGCGTTCCTTTAATTTTTTTGAGCAGTGTATTACCACATCTTAAATGATAATCAGAAGTTTTTTCGAGTGACGGCATTACCTGGTTGCACACAGCTTTCCCGTAGCGTATGAAAGTGGCAAAGTGCTCGCAGTTTAGAGTAAAAAGGTTATATGGAAGGGATTGATTGAGAAGGGCGTCACGGCGTAGCCTCATATCCTCAGGTGCTGAAGGTGTGAAGGCATGGCGATTGTTACTGACCAACGCATGGGCTCCATGTGGGACATTGACCTCACCAACAGGGACTCTGCGAATCTTGGTTTCTCCAAGGAGAAGGTCCCCACATACTGGCATGATTTTTTGCAGATAAGTACGAACAGTTGTCATTAGTTGCTTCTCATCTTGAAAAAAAAAAGGAAACAAGAAATGTTAGTGTTATAATTTGCCTGTTTAATGAATGCAATGAGCAGCACTCATGTTTTACTCACCTGCAACTGCAAAATGGATTACATGTCCATCGTCATCATAGATGGCCCAGTGCGAATATCCAAGTGGGTAGGAAAACTCAATCAAGTCTCCAAATTTTGCAGTGGACACAATGTTATCAATCTGTGTTAATAACAGTTAATAATTAGAATACAAGAAGCAAGTAGTGACACATCTCCACCCACTACCACTCCCCATGTAGCCAGATAACAGGTTCAGCTACATTACAGAAAGTGGCTGACACATTTGTTTTTTTAGTACAGGCAATCTGCTTGTCAGAGGTGAAACTTACCCAGTTTCAGTTAGCATCTGAATACATTTAATGTTGCAGAACTATTATACTGTATTTGTATTATTTGCCAGACGGGCTGGTTTGAGTTTTTCAGAAAATGCGGCTCTTCTGGGATTTTTCCATACAGCTGTCTTTAGTGTTTACAGAGAGTGTGAGCAGTGGTTCCCTGTTTCAAAGTAGCAGTCAAAATACTTTGAACTGATAGAAAGGCAACAGCAACTCAAATACCAGTAGAGGTATGTAGAAGAGCACCTCTAAAGGCACAACACATAAAACCTCAAAGCAGATGGGCTATAGCAGCAGAAGACCGCACTGAGTAACAATCCTGTCAGCTAAGAACAAGAAACTGAGACTAAAGTTCACAGAGACTCACTAAAACTGAGAAATAGAAGATGGGCAAAACGTTGCCTGATTCAGTGAGTTTCAACTTTTCCTCCAACATCCGGGTATTAGGGTCACAATTTGGCATAAACAGCATGGAAGCATGGATCCATCCTCCATAAATCAACAGTTCAGGCTTCTAGTGGTGTAATGGTGTGGTGGATCTTTTCTGGCACACTTTGGGCCTAAGCACCAGCTAAGCACCGTTTAAACACCACAACCAGCATGTGTACCCATCTACTGATGGCTGCTTCCCAAAAAATAAATCTGGAAGCTCAAATCATCTTAAACTAGTTTCATGAACATGATATTGAGTCCTCTGAACTAAATGTTACGAGATTTCAGTCAAAAGAGCATCTTTGGGATTCGGGGACACATCATGGATGGGGAGTTGACAAATCTGCAGCAACTGTGTGACGCTATCGTGTCAACATGGACCAAAATCTCTGAGAAATGTTCCCAGCACCTTGTTGAATGGCAGGAGGAATTAAAGAATTAAAGCAGTTCTGAAGGCAAAAGTGTCCAGTCAGTATAGATAGATAGAAACTTACCTGCTGTTGATAATTCATGGCTGACTCGCAGTTATTTAGGTTTAAAATGAGAACTCCTGCAGCTCTCCCAGTCTGGGGTGTTTGCTGCGCTACTATATTCAACAATTAACTAACAATAAAGTAAAAAACAAAGCAATTTCTGTCAAGTCTCCTCCCAGTTCCACTCCCCGTCAAGTCAGTGAACAGGTTCAGCTGCATTACATCAAGTGGCTTTTCATAAATGAGCTGATCTAGCTCGAGGCAACCTGCTAAAGTTCAAACCAAGTGAAAAGGAGTGAAAAGCTACTTAAATAATGGTTTAATTAAATAATGTAATAGGATCAAAAGGAAGTCTTAGTGAAACTTACCACCAAATTCCCATTTCATTTTGTGTGTATGGATTGTAAATTGCTAGTAAACTTTACTTGCAATTTACAATTTACTTACTTATTCTGCTTCCCACTTTTCTACTATAGCTATACTATGAGCTGTTGTTTCAAGATGTGACAGACATGAAGGTTTAGACTGCTGGTTGGATTCATAAACATTTTAAAAATATAACCCTGAAGTTCAGAAAATGGAACCTTCTGTGTAATATAGCAGAAATTTGTGGGGAAAATGGGGAAAATTCACAGCATCAAATAGCATCTTTTGCCAAAACAGCAGCTGAAAAAGTAAAAATGTAAATATTTAGTAAATGATTATCATTCATCACTTCTAATGACGATTAAGTCTTTTAATTGGATTGGAAATTGGTTGTTTCAGCACTAGTTTCATCCCCACATATGTGAACTGCGTGTATCTGATGACCGTCAGACAGATGAAATGAAGATGATCCTTCGCTCCCTGTGGCTTTGCATTAGATCCTCTATTGGTTTCCTAGAGAGCTTCCCACAATGCCCCAGGCAGTGGCGATTACAGCGTGCTAAATGCCAACCCCACTGTCAATGACTCCTACACAGCCTAATGAGGCAGAGCATCCATGCTGTAATTGTCATTTGTTTAGATCTCACATGAAGGTGTGAAGACAGGAATTAAACTACCACGGAGAATCACACTGACTGAACCGTATGTGTGTGAGGTGAGTTCTAGCGCTGTGCGTGTGTGTCCCCGGGACGCCGCGTTTTCATTTGCACGTGTCGTGTGACGTCAGAGAGGATTCATGTGTAAAAATAGACTTCCTTTGCAGAGGTCGTCACACATGAATGGACAGAAACACTCACACACAGATGTTCTCCCCTCATCAGTGTAGCATCAAATAAACAGCAGCACACAGAGACAGATGAACGCATTGCCAGATACGACCCTCGTCTCTGTGTATGAGGAGGCAGTGATCACGCTGAGCAAAGGCAGGTTGTATAGTTGTGTAAGAAAACATATACCAGAGAGGTTAACTGAGTCTGACATCTAACAGGAATTTGAAGCAGCTCATTGGACCACTTGCTGAATCCTTTTAATTTCTTTTAACATTACACGTTTGCTTCATGTACAGTGGGGCAAAAAAGTATTTAGTCAGCCACCGATTGTGTAAGTTCCCCCACTTAAAATGATGACAGAGGTCAGTAATTTGCACCAGAGGTACACTTCAACTGTGAGAGACAGAATGTGAAAAAAAAATCCATGAATTC